ATCTATGCCACGAAGAATTGAGGCAGTTCTGAAGGCAAAAGGGGGTCCAACCCGTTACTAGCGCGGTGTACCTAATAAAGTGGCCGGTGAGTGTAATTTGAGTGTTTTTCTAATATCTGTAAATATCGGTTATCGGCCATAACAGCAATAATTATATRGGACATTGATATCGGCTGAAATGTTCATTTTGTGCATCCCTAATTCTTAGATATCACTTGTGTTTATATTTGTTTTCCCTTGACCCAGCATTTCCTTAGGATGAAATCTTGCTTTATTAAGATGACATAATAGTGTTTGTTAAACAGTATAAATGAGGCCTGAACTGCCTCAGAAGCAGGAGCAGAGAGCAGGGGGCAGTCTGATGGTTCGATGTTGTTCTCGTTGCAATAAAGCTGACCGTTCAACGGAGTGCCTTCATTCTTGGACCACGTATTTCTGTCTTTGTTAAATAAATATTCCCTCAACACTGAACACATTGTTTAAATGCAGCAGAATGAGAAGAAAAGCTTTTAATTCACAGCCAGAAAGAAGAGCAGTACAAAAACAAACCTTTAATCATTATAACAACAGTGTTTTATTAGTTCATCACTTCAGCTGCAGCACCACCTGAAACACACAAAAAAGATCAAATCAGTCATTTAAAYACTCACAAATCTTTTATTTTCTTTCAAGCATAATTTTTACACCCAGACAACAGAAACCTAGTGAACAAACATGTTTTTTTATCCGTTCTGAAGCAGATAACAGCCTTTTCTCCACATTTAAACACTAAAAGGGTATTTTCTTTGATAATGCTGCCACCAAGTGTTTAAACTAAAATGTATTTAATTTATTTTTTGTTGTTGACTCAAGTTGGCAAAAAAAAAAAAAAACCTCCACAAATTAAAGTAAACACCTCTGGAGGTGAGGACTTATACAGAAGTGAAACATCAGCCACTGTGCTGCCAGAAAACCAGCTGCTGCACTGCATTGTGGGTAAAGAAGGTGTCATGTTCCAGCAAACAGAGCGGCGTGTTAATAAGGTGTCGCCTTCTGTGTGTGTTTGTGTGTGTGTGTACCTTGTTAGCAGCCTCCAGCGAGCTAATGAGCGCGCTCAGTTCCTCCCTGCTCATCTCCATGGCGACGGGTCGGAGCGCTCCGTTCTCCCTCACGTCCAGACTGAGGCTGAGCAGAGGCGTGTTGAGAGACGAGATCTTATCGCTGGACAGAGCCAACTGCAGAGAGAGGAAGAGGTGAGGGTGGAAGGTGGAGAAACGCTCGGCGCAGGCAGCTTCTCACGTGTGCGATTATTTTTAGGATTCAGAAGTCTTAGTTTATTATGAACAATAGAATAAAGCAGAGATTCTTAACCTATGGGCTGCGGCCCACAGCGCCACCTTGAGGGCCTCAAAAGAACAACAGTTTTTAACTTTGGGCCGCATTGATTTTGAATAAGGTGCAATACACATTCTCACCAGTAGTAGCAGTAGTGCACCACTCAGATGTTTAACAACTCTTTTAATATGTAAAAGAAGAACCTTAGAAACCTGCCGAGAGTGGAAACCTATTTTAAATGAAAAGTAGAAGCAAAAATGAAAGTAACTCATCAAAAAACACCAAAGT